GGGGTAAGTGGTGGATGTGGGCACAATTACAATGTTTAAAAGACATTTGGATGGATATATGAATAGGAAAGGTTCGGAGGGATATGGGCCAGGAGCAGACACGTGGGACTAGTTTAGTTTGGGATTACGTTCGGCATGGACTGGTTGGACTGAAGGGTCTATTTCCGTGCTGTATGACTGTGACTGGGGATCATGTGTGGTGTTGAATTGCCCAATTGTTTATGAATCAAATAAATTCCTCACTTGTGAACTGAGGGCCATTGTCACAAAATACAGTATTGGGAATCTTATAATAGCTGAAGAATGTTTTCAGGTATTCAACAAACTCAGCAATAGTCACAGTCAGCTGATCCACTTCCCAGTCGTCAGAGTACTAGTCTATAGTGACAAGGTAATTACATTTTTGAGTGTAGACAGCTCTACTCCCATCCAAGGTCTGTCGGGGATATCAGGTGTCATCAGCAGGTCTCTAGCTTGCCAGATTAGCACTATTTACAAGCACTGCATTGGCTGATGTAGTCTTTGATTTCACTACTTATGCTTGGCCAGTAGAAGACCCCACTTGCCTTCCTCACACTTGTCTCGATTCCTTGGTGGTTTATATGAGCAAACTTTAACTTCTTTCCTTGCAACTCTTTAGGGATAATTACTTTATTTCCTGTATACAATCTGCCACTTGAGGTATCAATTCATCTCCATATGCACAATATGCTGTTATTGCAAGAGGTGTTGATGTGTTCAGGCCATCCTTTTATCATTAATTTTTGCATATTTGTAGAGGTGGATCTTGTTGGATAGTTTGCTAGATTTAAGCAGGACACTTGTCTGTTATATTCAGTGGTTCTGCTGGGCTGATTACATCCACAGCATGAGCAGCTGCTGCTAATTCATACTGAATTCACACTCTGCACAAAACAGAGCAGACATCGGGAGTGTTATTCTCAACAGCATATCTGCGATGTACATCATAGAATCCCCACAGTGTGGAAGCAGGCTATTCAGCCCATCGTGACCACACTGACCCTTTGAGGAGCATCTCATCCAGACCCACCCCCCCTACTCTATTCCTGTAATCCTGCATTTCCCATGGCTAACACCTCTAGCCTACACATCCCTGGACACTTAGGGCAATTTAGCATGGCCAATCCACCTAAACTGCACATCTTTAGACTGTGGGAGGAAACCAGAGCACCCAAAGGAAACCCATGCAGAAATGGGGAGAATGTGCAAACTCCACACAGACAGTCACCCAGGGCTGGAATCGAACCCAGGTCCCTAGTTGTGTAAGGCAGCAGTGCTAGCCACTTCACACAGGTCTGTGGAGGTCATGGTTTTGCATTGCACATCAGTGTCTATCTGATATCTGATATTAACCTGATGTTCTTCTTCTGCAGCCATCATTCCTACAGTCACAGAACATTGATGATATTGGTGGGTTTGCAATCATAGTTACCTTATACAGACAGTCAATGATTTGCAATTTTCTGATAGCTTATTGATACATATATTAGATCATTAGGGAATGGAGGAAATATATGACCCATAACAGATGAAAATGCTTTTCTGATCCCAGAGCCATTCTGTCAATAGAGGAGTAGAGGCAGCACATTTCAATATCCCAGTTGTCTTGCAGTCTTTAGTGGAGGCCTTTGGTATTAACAGTCTTTGTTCTGCCCTTGGGCTGATCAGGAACTCCTGGTCCAGACAAGGACACAGTGTGGTTTGTCTCCCTAGATCTTCTTGCTCCTTCCTGCACTCCTATCCCTGTTAATATCTCTAATTTTGGTGATTGGCCATGTATGTTATTTCAATCACCTGTCTAACCCTTTTGTTCATTGATCATGGGACAGATCCTTCTGATTTTGGATGACCATTGTCCCCTCACCCAACTCCATTTGAGGGTTATATTTTTTGTTCCTTCTGTAAACTACACTTTTTATTTTTCAATACACTGCATTGATAATGGACAAGGGTGGGGCCTAATCAAGTTTTGATGAGTCATTATCTTGGTGATTCTTCAAACCACACCTCTGTTTTCATTTACGGGAGATTTGCTTATATTTGCCTAAGGCTAGTTACTAATGTGAAACGCTTAAATAAGATTGCATGCTACACAGGAAATACCAACTATGGAATACTAAGTGTACAGAGGTTTAAGGGGGGCCCTAATTTCCAAGATGTTGTATCACTTATTGATCTCACTTAATGAACCTGCAGCATGGTGTAGAGTGATCCATCAAAGCTTTCAGCTGCTGTCAGTCTTGTGAACATTTTCACTTGTGTTTCATGCTTCCATTTAGCCATACATTTCAGTGCAAAATGGTTCAGATTTGTGCAGCAAGAACACTCCTTTTCCTCATGCTAGCATGCCTTCTTCTCTGCATGATGTCTTCCACAGTATTTGCATTCTCCTTTTTGTGATTGTTCTGCCTTCTGGGGCCAGAGTATCAATCAGCATTATGTAAAACCTGCTCTGTTCTGTCATGAAAATGCTCCAGCTACTGATTTACACCAATAGCAAATTATCCAAATGCCAATTACTTTCCAGGGATTGAGCTTCTCCTCTCTCAGTCGAAGTGTCTTTATTGCAGAATTCCTTATGCCTATACAATTCTGTGCTTAAATAGATCATCTTTTAATTGCACAAATTCGTAGGATTCTGTTAGCTGGGTTAATGAGTTGACATATTGGCCAATGAACTCTTTTGTATTAATATTGCCTAAATATTGAAAAAAAAATTCATAAATTCTGTACACTTGGGGTTGAAAGCATGCCCTCAAAACATTCAAAATTTCTGCAGTGTTTTTTTTCTGTTCTTTGGAGCAATTCAAGGTAAAATACACCATGAAATATTCCCTTCCTAACAGTGGTAAGAGTACAGTAATGGTCAGCCTTTACCTTGGCAAACAAATTTCATAACTTTACCATTGTGTGTTAAAACAATGTTTTGCTTCATGTCCATCTTTCATTTTGACTGAATCTTGGAGATGAATGGGACAATCATTTTCTCTTTCTTGTGTTTCAGCTATATCCTGTTTCTTGTTGTATTTTAGTTTATTTGATTTGCTCATATTAGCTTTCATACTTGTGAATATTCTTGTGTCACTCAGTCAGTAACTGTGCTTTTTCCTCATACTCAATCTGAGCATCTTATCTGACACCATATAATGAGGACAGCAGAATGAATTCTTTATTGAAGAGACCTTAAGATGCCTGCCTGCAGTGTGTCTGCCTCATGGTAGGGATCACATGACCACAGCAGACCCGGAAGAACATCAGTACATGATTGTATTTCAATCCAAACAATATTGTACTTTGGTGATTTATAAGAAATTATCATCAGCTCCTTGAGAGTTAGAATCCACTTGAATTTTATGTTTTAGATCTTCTCTCATAATTTCTGATTTGAGTTACAGTGAAATAGCAGTTAGCAGGAACAAGTAGAGTCTCTTCCATTGCGTGTTTGTTTATGCATGCCATTTGTAACTAGCATCTGGAAACAGCCACTAATACTGATATTGATCATGTATCATATGAAATGCGTACCTAGTTTTCCAATTACTCAAAAGGTGGATTTGCTCACACAATCAAGTTAATGTGGTTGGGTTCTATTTTAATTTAGTCCCTTCTCTCTCTCCGTACCTCTCCCTCACTTTTGATGGTTTGCATTGCCCATAATGGGCTTTGCTTGTAAATACTTGATTGGCTACACAGGTGATTAATGGTAGTTGAAAGGAAAAAAGGTGACAAAAAATGTCACTGTGATTTTAGTGGTGGGAAAGTTACTTAGTTGTGCATAATAGCATTTTGGTGCATGAAAAAAATGTGACTGGGTCTAACCACAACCTATTAACAAAAAAAAAGACAGTCTCTTCATATTGACTTAAACGCATCTTCGTGCGTGCACACATTTTCCATCATGCAGTTTTCTTTATTGGTTGAGTATATTATATCCTGAGGGAAATTCAAATGTACCTTGGTGTTTTAATCAACTCCAGGTACAAAGTCAAAGTCAGTCTTGAGATAATCAAGTGGTAATCAGAGGATAGGTTTGATCAATCATCAGGCATTATATTAATTACATTACCACAAGTAGAACAAAGAACAGTACAGCACATGATAGGCCCTTTGGCCCACCATATTGATGCCGACCATGATGTCATTTCTAAGCTAATCCCATTTGTCTGCATGGTCCATATTCATCTATTCCCTCCCTGTTCATGTCTGTCTAAATGAGTGGTAAACATTGCTATCATATCCGTTTGTTCCTCCACCCTGGCAGCACGTTTCAGGTGCCTACATGTGTTTTAAAAAAAAATCAAAAATTGCCTCACACAGGTAGGCAATGGCCTAGTGGTATTATCGCTGGACTGTTCACCCAGAGACCCAGATAGTGTTCCGGGGACCTGGGTTTGAATCTCGATTTGCAGATGGTGGAATTTGAATTCAATAAATATCTGGCATTAAAGAGTCTAACGATGACCATGAACCCCATCTGGTTCATTAATGTCATTTAGCGAAGGAAACTGCCATCCTTACCTGGCCTGGCCTACATGAGGCTCCAGACCCACAGTAATGTGGTTGACTCATAACCGCCCTCTGGGCAATTAGGGATGGGCAATAAATGCTGCCTGGCCAGCAATACCCTCATCCTGTGAATGAATAAAGGAAAAACATCTCCTTTAAAACTTTCCCCCTCTCACTTTAAACCTATTCTCCCTAGTACTTGTTATTTCCACCCTTGAAAAAGACTGACTCTCCACCCTATCCATGCCTCTCATAATTTCATATAATTACAGGTCACTGCTCTAGCAAAAACCATTCAAGTCTGTCCAACCTCTCCTGATAGCTAATACGCTCCAATCCAGCCAATATCCTGATAAACCTCTTATGCATCCATGATCTTCCTATAGTATGATGACAAAAATGCACACGATACTCTAAATGTGGCCTAACTAAAGTTTTATACAATATGACTTGCCAACATTTATACCTAATGCCCTGACTGATAAAGGAAATCATACCATACACCTTCTTTACCAACTTATCAAGTTGTGTTGCCACTTTCAGGGAGCTATGGACTTGCACCCCAAGAGCTCTCTATATACCAATGGCCCTGCCACTTACAGCATACTTTTTTTCTTGCATTTAACCTCCCAAAATGCATCATCTCACACTTGTCTGGATTGAACTCCATCTGCTGTTTCTGCACCCAACTGTCCAACTGATCTATTTCCTGCTGTATCTTTTGACATCTTTCCTCACTATCCACAACTCCAATATGCAACCTTAGTAATCAGACCACCTACATTTTCGTCCAAATCATTTATATAGGTATTGCAAAAACAGAGGTTCCATCACTGGTTCCTGTTTAACGCCACTGGTCACAAATCTCCAGTCAAAAAAACATCCTCCACAACTACCCTCTATCTTCTATGGCCTAGCCAACTTTCCAACTCACTGTGGATCCCATGTGACTTAATCTTCTGGACCAGCCTACCATGAGGGACCTTATCAAATGCTTTAATAAAGCCCATGGAGATACCATCCATTGCTCTACCCTCAATCGTCTTCATCACTTGCTCAAAAAATTCAATCAGATTTGTGAGACAAGACCTCCCCAACACATGATGACTATCCATAATAAGTCCATTCTTTTCCAAGTACAAGTAAATCCTGTCCCTAAGAATCCTGTCTAATAATTTCCCTACAACTGATGTAAAGTTCACTGGCGTATAATTTCCTGGATTATCCCTGTTGGGCTCTTCTCTGGTCTTCTGGGACTCACCTATGTCTAAAGACGATGCAAAAATCTCCATTAAGGCCCCAACATCTCCACACTTGCCTCCTTCAGTATCCTGGAATAGATCCCAAAAAGCCCTGGGAATCCATCCATCTTAATGATTTTCAGGATAACCAACCCTCTTCCTTCTTGATATTGACATGCCTTAGAATGTCAACATACCCCTCCCTAATCTTAATATCATCCATATCCTTCTCTTTGGCAAAAACTGATAGAAAAGCGTATAAAATATGTCATTAGTTAGTGGGATTGCTTACCATCCCTGATATGGATGTACATGCTCACTGATGGTGATGTAATGGAATGTAATAATGTAATCTGTGATGAAATATTGTTCTGAAGAGATGCAGTAGGACAACATCATCATGGACCCTAAAATCAATAATACTTAAATGTTGCAACTTAAAGAGGACATGCTAATTTCATTTTGATGTGTGCTGCTTTGTTGATGGCCATGGAAACTGGGTGTGTACATTTGATGGCATACACAGTACTGAACTCTTTCTGTATCCAACTCCAAATGTGATGGTAACACTGAGTACCTGAAATGGAAAATGTTATCTTCCCAGCACTAATATTCCTCATGTTGATAAGCACACAACCCACAAATCAAAATTATTTTAAAATATTGGATTAGTTAATATTTGCGGTCTGTGCCATAGTGTTGCATTGGTTAAGTACCAACACTTGTGAAATTTAGAAAATAACTTTACAAAATCCTATCCTCTTGACTTTCTCTTAGGGGATCTCTTACTATGTCCGGGTGTCTGCCTATAATATGAAAGGTTGGGGGCCCCCACAGATATCCACTCCTGCATGTGCAACACCTTCTAGTAAGTACCACTTTGAAAATACACAGCTGTTTTCATCTGTTGATAAGATAATTACAAAGATGTAAGTTGCAGGTGTGGAAATGCATCCCAAAGTGGAGTGGCAGGATGAAAGACTACAGTTCCAATGTTCCACTTTACCAGCAGCTGATTCAGGCAAGACTATTATGAGAAAAAATATCCAAAAATGCCAGGGAATATTGAGCAAACATTAATTTAGAATCTTTTTCCTTGTACATCCCTTGTATTTTACACTCTGTCGTAGACTCAAATTCACCAATTTCACTAATTTCATCTCCTGACACAGTGCAGGCACTATCCACCTAATTAGTCTTTAACATCCCAAGTAAATTCTATTCTATCACAAATTCTACACACCTGTTTAATCTTCTACAGCTTGCTAGATAGCCAGTCAGTGAAGAACAGAACTGGAGGACTAGTTTTTTAAGGACTTAGAAGTTTTCATATACAGACACACATTACATATCTTGCATCTCAATCCAGTCAACATAGTGTATTATATATATTCTATTGAGCAAACTAGAAACAAACAACCAACCAACCAAATGAACTCATTAGTAACCCCTCAAAAGGATTAATTCCTTTTTATATTCTTTTGAGTATAGCCATTTTATCAGCCTGGGGCCGATAATGACTTCAGATCTTACAGTACTCACTCATCATGAAAGACTTCCTTCATAATTGTGGACACTGAAGATATTAGGAAAACACAATCTATGACCAGGCCTGGAGGAGATAGATGGGTTGGTCCACAATTTGAATCTTTGCACTCGCTCATATTTGGCAATTAATCCCAAAGTGTAAATCACACCCCTACACCAATGAGCTGGCAACAACTTATGTAATTGAGCACAGGTGCATTCCCATCACCCAGTCATGGAACTAAACACTCAATTAATTTACAATTATCATACACATCTCTCCTGTGTTCCTTTACTTCTTCAACTCAATTCTATTCTTCTGATCGGCTTCACCTCCCCTTTCTGTTCTCCTTCTTTCACTCTCTATCTCTAAATAACCTGTTCTCCTATTTCTTTCTTCTTTTTGTTTTACAATACAATGCAAAATCCTTTTATTATCACGTATGCCCCATTGCAGGAGTACAGTGAAAAACTTTTACAATGTCTGCCTTTTTATGGCAGCATCTTAGGTACAAGTACCTAGGTACAATTCTTGGATATAGCAGAGGGATAAAAGTAGTTGCTTAATTACATAGTTGAAACTAAGTTAAAAATAGGAATATATTAAGGGGTATATTAAGGGGTTAACATTACAATGTTCTGAGATAAGGATTGTCCTCTCACACCGGTCTCCATCCAGGACTCGCTGCCTGCATGCTGCTTGCGGGGTTGGGGGTGGTGTGGGGGAGCTTGCAGCTTCCCCATGTGCTGCTGCAGGACTTCTTCTCCGTGTTGCTCCAGGCTCACAGGCCACATGCTGCTCCAGGGCTCATTGCTCATAGTGGTCTGGGGCTCACTGGGCACACCAGGCTCTCAGGTCCCCGGGTGCAAGGCCATGCTGCTCATTCTGGTCCTCCATGGGTCTTTGCCTGTGTTCACTTCGGTTCCCTGTGTGGCTCGGCCCACCGCAGGTCTCAGCCCATGCTTGCTCCGGAATGGGCAACGCCGGTTGTACCGATTGTGAAGCCCGAGAGTTGGTTTGCCTTTGTGGGGAATTTAAACAAACAGTGAACTGTTTTTCTCAGCTGGATAAAGACCCAAACTCTTGCATAGAGGATTTATACACAAAGCTGGGAGAGGGTGGTGCTGTCCTTCACCAAGCTGGACATGAGCCATGCATACTTGCAATTGAAGTAGATGAGGATTCCCAGAAATACGCTACAATTAATATCCATAAGGGTTTGTACCAATATACAAGACTGCCATTTGGCACATCATCAGCCTTTGCAATTTTTCAGCAGATGTTAGAGAGCATTTTACAAGGTCCGCCCAAGATTATCGTTTATCTAGATGACGTGCTAATACCAGGGAAGACCAATTAGGAGAACTTAGAGAACTTGGACATAGTCCTTACACATTTCTCCCAGGTGGGTGTACGCCTTAGAAGGGAAAAATCTGTGTTCCAGGCACCCCAGGTGACGTAATTGGGCTACAGAGTCGACAGGTCTGGGTTACACCCATTGGAAGATAAAGTGAGGGCGATCAAAGGTGCCCAAGCTCCCAAGTCTGTACTGAAGCTTAGGTTTTTCCTTGGGGTGGAGAATTATTATGGAAAGCTCATACATAACCGGGTCTCCATTCTGGCACCTTTGCATCAACTCTTGGAAATGGTCACGTAGCCAAGCCATAGGTTTCAGGGAAGTGAAGAAACAGCAATCATCCTCTCAGCTGTTGGCACAATATGATCCCAAGTGAGATCTGGTATTAACATGCGATTCCTCCCTGTATGGCATTGGGTAGTATTAGTTCACAGGTGGCCCAGTGGAGAGGAATGCCCAATAACAGGACTTTGGCTAAAGCAGAGCATAAATACACCCAGATAGAGTAGGAAGGTTTGCAGTCATATTTGGAGTCAGGAAGTTCCGCCGAGACCTGTATGAATGTAAATTTGTAATACTAATGGGCCATAAACCCCTGCCCGGCTTACTTAGAGAGGACAAGGCAATGCTATCCATAGCTTCAGGCTGAATTTAGCAGTGGGGTCTAATACCAAGTGTGTATAATTACAAGTTGGAACATCGTTGGGAGAGCAGGTAGCGAATGTGGATGCATTGAGCCACCTCCCACTGGCAGATACGCCACCGTTGATATTGCCACTGGAAGAATCCTTACTGGTTTTAAATTTTCTGAACACACTTCCAGTCACAGCTGACAATATCAGATTTTGGACACAGAAAGATCCAGTCCTGGAAAAACAGCAGCAGCTGGTGGTGATGGGAGAAACCAAAGGGCCATCACAATCACAACTGAAACATCTTTGGACCTGGAGAGACAAGATCACAATAGGGGATGGCACATTATTATGGGGAGTATGAGTGATTGTCTCGAGCAAAGGTCACCGATTGGGTAAACTTCACCAGGGTCATCCAGGTTTCCAAAATGAAGATGTTGGCAAGAAGTTATGTCTGGTGGCCAGGACTCAATGCAGACATAACTGCATTGGTGTGGCAGTGCCCAGAGTGCCAACAGGACAAAAATTACTGCCAGCAGCTCCCCAATTTGTGGGAATAGCTGGGCAAACCCTGGACTTGGTTACACTTCGACAATGCATGTCTTTTCAGGGGCTCAATGTTCTTAGTCATTGTGAACGCCCAATCGAAGTGGCTGTCATGCATAGAGTTCATTTGTCAAACACGGCGATGATAGAAAAACTGCATGCATCTTTTGCAATACATGGACTCCCAGAAGTGTTGGTCACAGAAAATGGGCCATGGTTTACCATCAGGAAATTTGAGTATTTCCTAAAATCAAATGGCATTCGACATATAAGGTCAGCGCCATACCATCCATCATCCAGTGGTCTGGCAGAAAGAGCAGTCCAAACTTTGAAGGCATGCTTAAAGAAACAGCGTACAGCTTCACTGGATACCAAACTGTACCAGTTCCTATTTGACCATAGGACCATCCTTCATATAGCTCCAGTAGAGTAGCTGATCGGAAGAAGACTCCGCACCAGGTTAAATCTGATCTTCCTAGATCTGGAGGGGAGGGTGAAATGGCATCAGGAACACCAATGCTGGACACCAGCCTCCATCAAGCGAGAGAGACAGTTTACTTTAGGAGATGAAGTTTAGTGTAGGAACCACAAGAATGACCCTGCATAGGTAAGAGGCATGGTCAACGTGAGGTCAGGTTCAGTGATGCTTAAAGCTCTGGTAGGTGTGACAGTCCTGAACTAGCATGTGGACCATATGAAAGCTGCAAACAGTGTGGGAGCAAAACCTGCCCATTTCCTTGACAGCCTTTCCAACTGTTCCAGAACCCTTGGGTTCTGCCTGTCTTTCGAACATTGAAGATATCTTGGAATCTGAGATGGAAATGGCGGATTTTCCGCTCAACACCTTTGCCGTTTGAAGAAGCGGATAGATTTCTTCTGAGACGTTGCAGGCACAAGAAGTGAGCTAGTGTGAGTTACACGCCACCCGTATCAGATGCAGAATTGGAGGAACCTGACCCAGTGCTAAAACGCCCAGGCAGAGCAAAAAACAAAAGAACTGAAAGAACTGGCCTATGTTCTTGGACACAGAGGGGAGGGAGGGATGTAATAATTGTAACAAGGTCAGCCAGGTGGACCTCACAGAATATGAGTTCTGGGACTGTTAATCTGGTCCAATCAGGGAGCCCTGACTGACAGATAAGAACAGCAGTGTCAGACATCCTATTAATTATGAGAGCTGGCTCTGAGGGAGTTGGATCAGTGTCAAGGACTCTCCACATTTAAATAAACGGTGACTGGGTGATGGAATATGAGCCCCTGCAGAGTTATTTCCCTGTTGATGTTGGTTGAATGTCAGGGCTCCTGTGAGCAACAAAACCAGAACATTTGCAGCTGTGAATGTTCATGAAGTGATCCTTTGGTTTGCATCTCTGATCCATGAATATGAATGATACTGCCGATGGTCTGAGCCCCCACATCTAATAACTACATTTTCTCTTGGCATCTCTTTCTTCTCACTGAAACTGCTGTCGCTGGGGCACCATTTCCCACATACTACCTCGTCATTGTGCCTGTTTTGACTTGTCCATGGCTAGCTCAGATAACAGTAAAACAAGCAGTACTGTGTCATTACTGTGTCTTCTGAGTTCGGATAACTCAGGGCACAGCAGAACAAAATGCTAGTATGCTCTGGTCAGTGTAACCATTACCAGACTAGTTTAGGTTACTGTTAAGTTGCAGCTTTCATAAAAACCTTGTGCTTGTGTTGAATTTTGAGGCAGTACCATTAGTTCCAAGGTGAAGAGGCTGCATCACTTTAAGACCCTGGATTCACCTGCAGCTACAAGGTGAATTCTAGGGAGCTAAACAGACCTCCTGAGGCAACCTGCTAGATTGAGGCCTCAGGATCAAACCTCCTGCAAAGTAGAGAAGGGTTTAGTGGGAAGGGGACATGGAGGGGTGAGGGGGTGCTCTCCTGGGGCAGCAGAGTTTCAGATTATCTGGCTAGTCAGAGGGTACAATTTTCTTCTGAGGAAGGGTCACCGGACCCGAAACGTTAACTCTGTTTTCTCCTCCACAGATGCTGCCAGACCTGCTGAGCTTTTCCAGCAACTTTGTTTTTGTTGTTGTTGTTGATACAATGTTGAAATGGTTCTGTTGTTGTTTTGGAATTTTTTGTTGATCACTCAAAGATAGGTGAGAAACTAGGTTGTGAGGAGCATGTAGGAGTCTAGAAAACGATATAAATATGTTAACTGAGCGGGCACAGATCAGGCAAATGGAATATAATGCGAGAAAATGTGAAATTGTCTGCTTCAGCAGCATAAATAAAAAATAAGTATTTTGTCTAATGGTGAGAAATCACAGAGCCCTGAGATGCAAAGGGACCTAGGAATATTAGTGCATGAATCATGGAAGGTACAGGTACAGCAAGGAATTAGGAAAGCTAATATAATGTGGGGGGAATTGAGTACAAAAGCAGGGAGGCTCTGCTTCAGTTATACTGGACAATAGTGAGACCATATCTGAATATTATACAGTATTGGCCAGTATTGGTACAGTATCCTTGAAGAAGGATATGAATATGTTGAAAACTGTTCAAAGAAGATTGACCAGACTAATACCTGGAATGAGCATCTTATAAGGAAAGATTGGACAGGCCGGGCTTGTAACTGCTGGAAGTTAGAAGAGTAAGAGGTGGCTAGATTCAAACATATAAGATCTTGAGGGGTGTTGACAGGACAGATGTGGAAAGGATGCTTCCTGTTATGGGAGAATTTGGTACTAGAGTCACTATTTAAAAACAAGTGGTTGCCCATATACAACAGAGGTGAGGTGAAATTCTTTCCTTAAGAGGGTATAGAGTCCCACACTCATGACCACTACCATCTAGAAGGACAAGGGTTCCAAATACATGAGACCAACACCACCTGCAAGTTTCTGTCCAAGCCACTCACCATTCTGACTTGGAAAATGTATCATCTTTCCTTTATTTCCTGATTCAAAATCCTGGAACTCCATCCCTAACAGTATTGTTGGTGTACCTACACTAAATGGGACCACAGCGGTTCAAGAAGGCAACTCATTACTACCTTCTCAAGTACAATTATAGCTGGGTAATGAGTGCTGGTCCAACCAGTGAAATTTACATCTCCTGAATGAATAAGAAATAATTTGGAACACTCTTGCTTTAAACATGGTAGAAGCAATGACTTTCAGACAGAGATGGATAGATTACTGATAACTAAAGGGATGAAAGGTTATCAGGTTGGTGGGATATGGATATGAGGTTACAATCAAATCAGCTGGAATCTTATCAATGGAGCAGGTTTGAGAGGCTGAATGGCCAAGTCCTTGTTTGTATGAGGTTGTAAAGAGTCACTGCCACCATCAGAATTCATGATTTGGAATGCAAAACTGCCAACATGCTACTTGGTTTTCTTTTACTCTCTCCCTCCCAGACTGGAGAGAATGCAATGGCAAGGAAGTGAAGCATAGTGGCCAGACAGAGGCATTGGATCTACTACTGAATCAAATCAAAAACAACCACCAACATTGCCTGTGCCATGGTAAGTTAAAGCAATGACTGTCTCCTGCAACTGGGATATAAATTTATGAAGAGAAAGCAGTGAAGAACGTGATGAGATGTAAAGTATGAACTTTCAGTAACACAGTTTTTTTAACCTGCCAAAACATTGCACTTCACATTATGTGGCATAATTATTTGGACTCAAAAGAAAATAAACAGTGAAAATGGCAAAGGTGTTGACTGACTAGTTTGTACTATATCCCACATTGTATTCTGTACTGTCACATTAAGCCAGTTATGTCCAATGTCACATGATTTACAAAAAGCAAGTCACAACTGAACAATCTTAAAAATGTTTATAGAATGAGAAAGAAACCATCGTATTATCTGGTAGGTTCTTCATGATACTGAGTATTTCAGAACAGCTTTGTCTATTTAGGTAAGTTCATGCCAGATTTTGAGCTATTTCTTAAAACGGTATTTATTAATATGCTATTCATGATGATCATGCAGCAGACACCTCTGCCCTAAGCTATTGTAATGTCTACCTTTTACAGAATCTGTCACATAACCATTGAGGGCACAGTTACCTTACAGCATACTTCAGAGACTCACCTGTATGTTCCTTAAACCTTGCCTCTACACTGAGGTAACAAGAATAACTGAGCATCATCAGTCTATGGAAACATCCAAGAAAAATTAACTTTGAATAACTTGAGGATCACCTTCCACATTAGTAACCCTAAAGGAATAAAGAAAGTCAGCAGCTAAAAAAGTCCTGCTGGATAAACTATTTTATTAAATCCTTGAGTGATCAAAATATATCAACATCTTAAAAACTGTTTGTTTGAATTTTCCAGAAAACTCAAAAATCCATCTGCAGGGCCGTAAACACTCTATGTCCAAGAGCCTGAAACACCTTTTTCAACCAACAAGCAAATTTGTTAAAACTCTCAAACGGTAAGTTGATTACTCCTATTCAATGAAATAATCAGTTTCTTGAGAAAATGAAACATAATAATCAAAATTGATTTCATGATGTTATTAAAGATGGACTGTTGATTTTTGAATTCTATCAGCTGATTTAAAACCTGGGACTTCCATGGGTGGAAACAGTTTTAAGAAAGGGATTAAATGCTGATATAAATTGGATCACAGGATCATTTGACCCACAAAGGTTGGCCAAGTTTCACAAAATGGGTGTGGATTCAGCCTAACACTGTTGGAACTGAAATTAATGTTTTCCCTAAGGGCAATGAAATCAGTCAATCAGCTCCCTTGGGAAGCATGAAAAGGTCCACTTTTCCTTTATGATTTATACCATTATAAGAATCTTCAAATGCTGGAGATGAAACATCTAGTGCAATATCCAGACTGAAAACAATAACCTCCACAGAAATGGAATATACAAACACCTCCTCTTTCAAGGAGCATTTGGCAGACCAAGAGAAATTGGATTAAGAATGTAGAACTGAATACATGCTGAAAAGCCTCTTTTGTAATTCATTCATGGACCGGGGGTATCACTGACTAAGACAGAATTTATTGCCCATCTCTAATTGACCTTGAGAAGGCGGTGCTGAGCTGCCTTTTTGAAGCACTGCACTCATTGAACAGTAAATATATTCAGACTACTGTTAGAGTTGGAATTCCAATATTTTGACTTAGCCACAGTGAAGGAACATTAATATAGTTCCAAGTCTGGATGGTATATGACTTGAAGGTGGTGGTGTTCCCACACATCTGCAGCCCTTGTCCTTCTAGTAGTGGAGATTCTCAGATTGGAAGATGCAGATGGAGGAGCCTTGTTAAGTTACTGCAGTGCATCTTGTACATGATACAACTGATGCCACTGTGTGGTGGTGATGGAAGTGCATGCAGAAGGTGGTGGAGAGGGTGCCAATCAAGCAGGCTGTTTTGTTCTGGATGGGGTCAAGCTTCTTGAGTGTTGTTAGAATTGCACCCATCCAGGCAAGTAGAGGACATTCCGTAACAATCCCAATTCGTGTTTGTAGATGATGGATTGGCATTGGGGTGTCAGGTGAGTTATTTGCTGCAGAATTCCAGCTTCTGACCTGCTATTGGCACTATGTACATGGCTGGTCTAGTTCAGTTTCTAGTTAATGGTAAGCCCCCAGGATGTTGATAGTGAGGAACTCAATGATGGTAATACCGTTATATTTCAGGTGGTGATGGTTAGATTCTCTCTTGTTTGAGATGGTCAGTGCCTACCTGGCACTTGTGTGGTGTGAATATTACTTACCGCTTTTCAGTCTAAGCCTAGATGTTGTCCAGGTCTTGCTGCTTCAGTCTTCAAAGTGTGTACAACATGTTGTACAATGTGCAGTCTTCAGCAAACAGCCTCACTTCTGACCTTACAAAGGACGTTAGGTCACTGATAAAGATGGTTGAAGATGGTTGGGTATAAGACATTGCCATGACACTACTGTGTACTGATTCTGGAGCATAATTTTTAAGTACTATTGCTGGAATTTGTAAGGCCCTTAACTTTTGCAGTATTCAGTAGCCCTCAGGCTTTCCTTGATAACAGGTGGAGTGAATGGAATCAGTTGAAGATTGGCATCTGTGATACTAGGGACCTCAGGGGAAGGCCAAGATTGATCATCCATTTCGCATTTATGGCTGAAGATGGATCCAAATGCATCAGCTTTATCTTTTTCACTGATGTGTTGGGATCCCCATCATTGAGGATAGGGATATTTGTAGAGCCTCCTCCTTCTTTTAGTTGTTAAATTGTCCCCCATCATTCACAACTGGATGTGGCAGGACTTGCAGAACTTAAATAAGATCCTATAATTGTGGTATTGCTTAGCCCTGCCTATTGCATGATATTTATGCTGTTTAGAACTAATCATGTGTTGTAGCTTGTTTTTGGTTTATGTCTGGTAACGTTCCTGGCATGCCATCGCTCACTTTTATTGAACCAGGATTGAACTCCCAGTTTGTTGGTGATCATAGAGCTGGGAATTTGAGTGTCATGTAGTCACATATTCTGATTGAATACAATTTTGCTGTTTCTCATAGCCCAAAGCCCCTCATGGATGATTAGTTTTGAGTTGCTAGATCTGTTCAAAAGTTGTCCCATTTAGTATGGTGATAGTGACATAAAACACAATGGACGGTATCCTCAATGTGAAGACTGGATTTTGTATTCACTGTACCAATACTGTGATAGACAGATTCATCTGCAACAGTGAGATTGGTGAGGATGAAGTCAAGTAGGTTATTTTCTTCTTACTGGTTCCTTCATCACCTGTTGCAGACCCTTTCGGACTCAGCCAGCTCAGTCAATATTCATGCTGCTGGGCCAGTCTTGGTAATGGACATTCTAGACCCCACTGAGGGTACATTGTGTGTCCTTATCCCCCACAATGCTTCTTCCAAATGGTGTTCAATGTGGAGGAGAATTGATTCATTGACTGAGGAGGGGAGGGGTTGATGGTAATCAGCAAGAAGTTTCCTTGTCCATGTTTAACCCGGTGCCGTAATACTTGGAGTCCTGAGTAAATGTTGTGAACTCCCAAGGCAACACTTTCTTACTGTAACAACAAGGTGCAGAGCTGGATGAACACAGCAGGCCAAGCAGCATCATCGGAGCAGAAAGGCTGACGTTTTGGGCCTAGACCCTTCATCAGAAATGGGGGAGGGGAAGGGGGTTCTGAAATAAGTAGGGAGAGAGTGGGAGGCGGATAGAAGATGGATAGAGGAGAGGAT